CATCCGCCGACCCCTCATCTTGGCGGTCTTGCCGGAACCTCGGGTTCACAGCCCGCAGTTGCCAGGCGTATCAGTGCGGCGGCGCGTGCAAGAGAAGACTACCGACGTCGGCGTTCTCCGGGAACCCTGCCAACGTCGCACGCGATGCAAAAAAGGGCACCCTGATATGCAAGACCTGCAAATGATACCCAATCGGGGGCGCGCGTGCGGGGGAGGACAGGGGGGAGGGGGAGAGAGGGATGGGGGGTGAGGCGGAGGATGGGGGGAGAAGAATCGGGGAGGAAGAGGAGGAGGCGGGGGAGGAAGAGGAGGAGTGGGCGAGGAGGAGGTGGAGGAGGAGGAGAAGAGGGGGAGGACGGGGACACAGAGACGAAACTCTGGGATATGTGCTATTGGTTAGAAACTTGTTGTATGTGTATAGGGATCTCGCGGCACGCCTCTCGGGGACCTTTGGAAAGCAGTTTTGAACCCACCTGGCGGCCGAGGTGGAGGAGGAGGAGGAGGAGAAGGAGGAAGGGGACACAGAAACAAGGCTCTGGGTTATGGGTTTTGGGTTAGGGCCGTCTTGCACCAGCTTGGGACCAATTTGGAGACAGGTTTTGCCGTCTTGGGGTCGTCTTAGGCCGAATTGGGAGGCGTCCTGGGCCGTGTTGGGATTCTCCGGGGCCGTCTTGAGGCCCTCTTGGGGCGCCGTGGGGCGATCTTGGAGGCTCTTTGGGCTACGTGAGCCGACGGAAGCCGGGAAAGGCAACAATTGCGAACATGTTCAACAACGCAATGGAAATGTAATGAAATGCGTAATGTGCGCCTCTTTCAGATGTCCTGGGGGTCTTCTTGGAGACTTCGTGGGCGATAGTGAAAGCCTTGTCGGCCATCTTGAGGCCATTTTGGGCCGTCTTCGAACGTTCTTGGGCCGTGTTGGAGCCATCTTGGGCCGTTTTGGAGCCATCCTGGGCCGTTTTGGAGCAATCTTGGCCTCGAGAGCGCGAATCATTTTTTTGTGCGCAAACGCAACCCCGCCACCGTGCCTGGGTTGTTGATATGAGACTTGTGCGGTGATCGTTGGGATCTCTTGGGGGGCTTTTCGCGGGACTCTTGGAGGCAGTTTCGAAGCCTCTTGGGGGCCGTTTTGGAGCCTCTTGGGGGCCTCTTGGGGCCTCTTGTGGGCGTCTTGGGGGCCTCTTGGGGCCTCTTGGGGCCTTCTGGGGCCGCCTTGGGGCGGAAGGCTCGGATTGTCGGTTCGGGCTCCCCCTCTTGGGCACCTCTTGGGGCCGTCTTGGGGCCCTCTTGGGCTGTCTTGGGGGCCTCTTGGGCCGTCTTGGCGCCCTCCTGGGCCGACTTGGGCGCCTCTTGGGGGCCTCTCGGGGCGGTCTTGGGGTGCTCTGGGACCGTCTTCAACGCCGTGAAGGCCGAGAAGTAGTATGTGATCAAAATGTACGTTTTCCCATAGGAATTGACGATTTTCGGCGCTTCGGCCCTTCTGAGGACTGCTCTTGGAGGCGTCTTGGGCCGTCTTGGAGGCCTCTAGGCTCGTCTTGGGGGCATCTTGGGCGTCTGGGAGCGCTCGTTTGGCGCCTCGGAGCTCTCGTGAGCCGTCTTGGAGGAGTCTTGGGGCCTTCTTGGCCCGTCTTGATCCCCTTTTGGGCCCAAAAGAGCCCCGTGGTGCGCTCGTCTGCGGCCCGGGGGGGGGGGGTCAAATCTCCGGTTTGGGGTCCCAGGGGGGGGGTTAGGGGGGGGAACTATCTCACACGCCTAGAGACCCACAAGGGGTCGGCGGATTTGTGGGGGAGAATGGGGAGAGAGTATGTCCACAGATGGTTGGGTGAGACTTCGTGTTTGGGCCTGGAGCGTGGCAGCATGCACATCCGATTGCCCGCCGAGGCTGCGCCTTCTGGGCAGTGCTGACGGCGCTTGCGGCATCTCGCCCGCCATGCACCTTCAGCCACAGGGGAGTCGCGGCGAGTGAGGCAAAAGTACGCAACGAGGAGCGTGAGGAGGAATCAAGCATGAGGATGAAATGGGGGGAGACACAGGGAGGGAAGGGGAGAGGGAGAGGACGAGCAGAGACGCCCTGGTCGTCGGGTCAGCATCAGCGGGGCGAGCACTGGCGGCATCGTTGGCAGCCGCAGCGGCAGCAGCAGTAGCAAACCTGTAGCAGCGAGAGCAGTTGTAATCGCATTTGAATGCGGACGTGTGGGGAGGGGGGGCCGCTCTCGTCTTCGCTTCTCTCTTTTGCACGCCGGACAATTTGCCATCGTTTGCCCCGATTAATTTCACGCTGGTACGGACTGCTTTTGCCTCGCCGCCGACGAGAAAAAGGGGGGGCAAATTTCCCAACTCATTTATCAACGATGTACAGTGTGAGAGCACGCAGCGGAACAAAAAGGAGGGTCAGCCGCCAAACCGAAGATCGGGATCAGCCTGAGCAGGCACTGGAGGCAACCATAAAAGCGTTCGCTGATCTGTCGATCTGGGCGCCTCTTGGCAGCTCACTTGGGCAACTTTGGGGCTCTCTTGATGCCATCTTGAGGCCCTCTTGGTGCTTTCTCGGGGCCCTCTCCGCGGCGCGCTTCGGGCCATCTTGGAGGCAGTCGATCAAAGCAGGGGGCGTCACCAGTTACGCCGCCCCTCGGAAGCACAACAAATGTCTCTTGTGACGCTCTTGGGGAAGTCTCTGGCCCCTCTTGGGTCCCTCTTGGCGGCTTTCGTTGGCCATGTTAGGGGCATGTAGAGGTCACAAGCGCTCATCGGAAGCGAATAGGCGAGAATACACACACCACTGTTTTTCTTGAGGTGTTGGGTGGATTTGGGCCTCTCGGGTAGTCCTTCGGAGGCTGCGTGGTCAGTTGGAGCCGTCTTAGGACGGTCATGCCGCCTCTTGGATGCATGTTGGAAGCTATCTAGAGCCATCTTGGGCTATTTCGTGCGATCTTGGAGTCCATCTTGAGCGATCTGGGGACCGCTCGGGGTAAACTTAAACGCTCTAACGACACGCGGCGCCGTTTTGGGCCCCTACAGAGGCCATCTTCGGCCAGCTTCGCGCTCTCTCGGGGCCATCCTGGAATGTCTAGGGGCCCTCTCCGGGCTCTCAGCTGGCACTTTTGGGCTTTCGAGGACCGCAAGAGTACCGATCCTCGACCGAATAGCTTTGGGAATCTGGGGGGCCTCCCAGAGAGCGTTTCCGGCGTGTCTGGGAGCCTCCCGGGGGCCTCTTAGGATGTAGTTTGCCCTTCTTGGAAGTTGTTGAGTGCCTCTTGGGGCAATGCTGGGCCATCTCTTGGCGGCCTGGTTTGCCTTTCCCGGCTGCCGTGGAAGCCTCGGAGAGCCTTAGCGAGCGCCAGGGAGGCGCCAGGGCGGCCCGCTCACCCTTCGGGAGGGGTGGGCGGTGCACGCAAGTAGACGTGATGAGGGGGGGACCGCCAGCAGATCAATTTGAGTCGCGACCATGCCAGTGCCAGGAATGTCAAGGCATTAATTGCAACGTGCACGCAACTGTAGGACCTCGTCACATCAGTTGAGCGCGCCCTTTGTGTTACTAGGGGGGGATCGGGTTTTGAGCTGATTTCATTTCCCTTTGATTCCCTTCCCCTTCATTCTTCCCTTCCCGTTAATTCTTCCCGTCAATTGTCTTGTATTCCTTTTAATTGTCTTGTCTTCCCGTTAATTATCTTGTCTTCCCGTGAATTGTCTTGTCACGTATCCCCATTAATTGTCTTGTATTCCCGTTAATTGTTTGTATCCCCTTTCTTTGTTACTTTTCGACTCCAAGGCCCCAGTGGGCGCATACAGGAGGAGGAGGAGGAGGAGGAGGAGGAGGGGGAGGATAATCTCCGCATTCGCCCTCCATCTCCGGGTTCTGGGAGATCCCGGGAGGTCCCGAATTAACGGGAATTACCGTCCAGGCGTTCGAGGGAAAAGTTTCCCGGGAGGTCCCGGGAGGTGGGGCCCCGGGAGGTGGGGGCCTTCCTGGTAATTCGTTGTGATTGATTTTATCCGTATATCATTATCGGGAGATTATCGGGAAGAGTTCCCGGGAGGTGGGGCCCCGGGAGGTCCTTGGGAGGTCCGTTAATTCTGGACGGTAATCCCCGAACCTTTGGACGGTAATCCCCAGCAATGAGAATCATGTGGGGCGAGGGGTGGGGGAGCTCGGGCTGCTCTCCTGCAGTTGCGCCTCGCCGAGAGCCTCCTCCCGTGCCTCCTCCCGTGGCTCTCCGGGGCTCCTGTAGGCTTTTTAGGTCCATGGGTGTGGTTTTCCTGTAGCCCCACCCCCTCCACGTGCAATATAGGAACATAGGCTAACCATGTAAGACCGAGTATGACTGACGCCCATTATCATTAGTTGGAGCAGGCGGGGATTATAGGAAATTCTAGGGAGTTATATGGGAATTAAAGGGAAAGTATTGGAATTAGGGAATGATAGGGAAATTATAGGAAAAGTATAGGGAAGCTCAACCAGGAAACTATCGGTAACTCAAAACCCGATCCCCCCTCTTGTAACATAATGGGCGCGCTCAACACATCAGGTTTCGACGTAGACGCTGAAGGGAAGCACATGTTGAATCAAGCGCCAAAGTCAACGTACACATGTAATTATGACATAATAGCAGGGCAGCCACACTATCAGATGCAACGTCAGCAGTGCCAGTCGTCTTGCAGTGGACTTGCTTATCAGTCGTCATCATAGCCGTGGAAACTACTGCGGGAGCCGTCGTTGGTTGCGTCTTGCTCGGAACGCCGCTAGTATGAGCAGCGCTGTGGAGAAAAGGAAGTGGAGGGAGGAGGAGCGCAATGATGAGCAGGGTGTGTGCGAGTCCAGTGTTGAGTGCGTGTTGAGTCCAGTCGTTCGCGCGCCAGGCTGCTCGCCAGCTCAGCGTGCTGAGCGACTGGGAGGCACGCTCGGAGCCCCCTCCCTTCGCTCTATCTCCCAGGTCTTCGAGGTGCCTCGCCTTCGCTGGCGCCTCCTGACCGTTACTGCGCCCCAGTGGATTGGGTGTTAGGTTGAGGACCAGGCGGATGAAGAGGACAACGAGGTAGGCTCGAAGAAGAAGAAACGCCATAACCATAAACTTCTTGGCGCTCCGCGCAGATTTCTTGGATCTGCGCTGGAGCGCCCTGGCGGCGCCACTGGCGCCGCCCCTGACGCGCTCCGCGCGCCAGGGAGGGGGGTCCAGCGCTGATCCAAGAAGTCCGCGCAGAGCGCCCAAAGTTTATGTTTATATTTTTACCTAACAGCGAAGACTGATAGGTTTCTAGTGGTGTCAAAAGAGAGCAGCAGATGACTCCACAGGGGGGTCTGGGCAGCCGTTGGGGAGGTGTTGGGGGGCCGTTGGGGAACCGTTGGGGATTGCCGGGGAACCTCGTTTTTCGCAAACAGTCACACACTTCGTGCTCTTCGACCTCCCAGAACTCCATTCTTCGACCTCCCAGAACTCCATTCCCGGGCCACATTCTGAATGCCCGGAGCCAATTGTAGGCCACTTCGTGGTCTTCGAGTTCCCAGAACTCCATTCCCGGCGTACATTTTGGATGCCCGGAGCCAACTGTAGGCCACTTCGTGGTCTTCGAGTTCCCAGAACTCCATTCCCGGGCCACATTTTGGATGCCCGGAGCCAACTGTAGGCCACTTCGTGCTCTTCGAGTTCCCAGAACTCCATTCTTGGGTATGATTTTGAATGCCCGGAGCCAACTGTAGGCCACTTCGTGTTCTTCGAGTTCCCAGAACTCCATTCCCTGGGCCACATTTTGAATGCTGAGGCAGGCTGATGCTGAGGCTGAGGCAGGCTGAGGCAGGCTGAGGCTGAGGCCGAAGCTGAAGGCAGACTCAGGCTGAGGCTGATGCAGGCTGAGGCTGAGGCTGAAGCAGGCTGAGGCTGATGCAGGCTGAGGCTGAGGCAGGTGAGGCTGAGGCTGAGGCTGATGCAGGCTGAGGCTGAGGCAGGCTGAGACTGAAGCCGAGGCTGAAGGCAGATTGAGGCTGAGGCTGAAGCAGGCTGAGGCTGAGGCTGAGGCAGGCTGAGGATGAGGCTGAGGCAGGCTGATGCTGAGGCAGGCTGAGGCTGAGGCTGATGCAGGCTGAGGCTGAGGCAGGCCGAGGCCGAGGCCGAGCTGAAGGCAGACTGAGGCTGAGGCTGAAGCAGGCTGAGGCTGAGGCAGGCTGAGGCTGAGGCTGAGGCTGAGGCAGGCTGAGGCTGAGGCAGGCTGAGGCTGAGGCTGATGCAGGCTGAGGCAGAGGCAGGCTGAGACTGAAGCCGAGGCTGAAGGCAGATTGAGGCTGAGGCAGAGGCAGGCTGAGGCTGCGGCTGAGGCAGGCTGATGCTGAGGCAGGCTGAGGCTGAGGCTGAGGCTGATGCAGGCCGAGGCTGAGGCAGCCTGAGGCTGAGGCCGAGGCTGAGGCTGAGGCTGAGGCAGAGAGGCTGAGGCTGAAGCAGGCTGAGGCTGAGGCTGAGGCAGGCTGAGGCTGAGGCTGAGGCAGGCTGATGCTGCTGAGGCTGAGGCTGAGGCTGAAGCAGGAGGCTGAGGCTGAGACTGAGGCCGAGGCCGAGGCCGAGGCTGAAGGCAGACTGATGCTGAGGCTGAAGCAGGCTGAGGCTGAGGCTGAGGCAGGCTGAGGCTGAGGCTGAGGCAGGCTGAGGCTGAGCAGGCTGAGGCTGAGGCTGAGGCTGATGCAGGCTGAGGCTGAGGCAGGCTGAGGCTGAGGCCGAGGCTGAAGGCAGACTGAGGCTGAGGCTGAAGCAGGCTGAGGCTGAGGCAGGTGAGGCTGAGGCTGAGGCTGAGGCAGGCTGAGGCAGGCTGAGGCTGAGGCTGAGGCTGAGGCAGGCTGAGGCTGAGGCAGGCTGAGGCTGAGGCCGAGGCTGAAGGCAGACTGAGGCTGAGGCTGAAGCAGGCTGAGGCTGAGGCTGAGGCAGGCTGAGGCTGAGGCTGAGGCTCATGCAGGCTGAGGCTGAGGCCGAGGCCGCTGAAGGCAGACTGAGGCTGAGGCTGAAGCAGGCTGAGGCTGAGGCTGAGGCAGGCTGAGGCTGAGGCTGAGGCTGAGGGAGGCTGAGGCTGATGCAGGCCGAGGCTGAGGCAGGCTGAGGCTGAGGCCGAGGCTGAAGGCAGACTGAGGCTGAGGCTGAAGCAGGCTGAGGCTGAGGCTAAGGCTGAGGCTGAGGCTGAGGCTGAGGCTGAGGCTGAGGCTGAGGCTGGCTGATGCTGAGGCAGGCTGAGGCTGAGGCTGAGGCTGAGGCAGGCTCAGGCTGAGGCAGGCTGAGCCTGAGGCCGAGGCTGCAGGCAGACTGAGGCTGATGCAGGAGCAGGCTGAGGCTGAGGCTGAGGCTAATGCAGGCCACTGCGACTGTCATCGCGAATGCGACTACGACTGCGAGAACAGCAGAACTCTACAACTGGATTCTCATCTGAATCTTAAGGGGGATGCTTCCAGATATGCTCCTACACATCGCTGTTAGGTTGCTTTGCCGGGATAATTTGATGAATCTTCGATCTAAGCATTGCGTGGAAGAGGAGAAGCATGACTACAGAAGAGAATAGTGATGTGCCCGACTTTTCCCCAGCCGACCGGTCAGGGCCGTTAGACCTGGCCCGGCACAGAAACGGAAAGAGCGCTTCAGAAACAGAAACCGAAATTACTCACACCACCGTTCGTACTGGGAGCCTTGGCGTTGAGAGCTTGTTACGTCACCCCTCGCTCTTGGGAGCCTTGGTGTTCAGAGATTGTTGCGTTGCCGCCCGTTCCTGAGCCTTGGCTGGGCCTTGGTGTCAGGAACTTGTTACGTCACCGCTCTCTGCTGGGAGCCTTGGTCTTATCAGCTTGTTTACGTCACCGTTCGCTCTTGGGAGCCTTGGTGTGAAGAGTTTTTTGCGTTACCGATCGCTCTCTATTTGGCGTCTCTGGGCCTTCTTGGGAGTCCTATTGGACTCCTTGTCGGGCCCTTTTGGAGGCCTCTTGGGAACCTCTTGGGGGCCTCTTGGGGCTTCTTGGGGGGCTCTTGGGGCCTCCTGGGAGCGTCTTGGGGCGAAATGCTAGACTTTCGGGATCGTGGTCCCCCTCTTGGGGCCGTCTTGGGGCCCTCTTGGGGCCGTCTTGGGCGCCTCTTGGGCCGTCTTGGCGCCCTCTTGGGCCGTTTTGGGGGGAGCCTCTTGGGCCGTCTTGGGGCGGTCTTGGGGGCTTCTTGGAGCGTCTTCAACGCAGTGAAAGCCGAAAAGCCTTGTATGCTAAAAATGTACCTTTTCCCATCGGAAATCAATGATTTTCGCCTCCCGGTGGCCTCTTGGGGCTTCTTGGGGGGCTCTGGGGGCCTCCTGGGAGCATCTTGGGGCGAAAGGCTAGAGTTTTCGGTTCGTGGTCCCCCTCTTGGGGCCGTCTGGGCGCCCTCTTGGGCCGTCTTGAGCGCCTCTTGCGCCGTCTTGGGGCCCTCTTGGGCCGTTTTGGGGGCCTTTTGGGAGCCTCTTGGGCCGTCTTGGGGCGGTCTTGGAGGCCTCTTGGGCCGTCGCCAACGCCCTGAAAGCCGACAAAACGCAAATGTGGGCGCCTCTTGGGGGCCTCTTGGGGGCCTCTTGGGCCGTCTTGGACGGTCTTGGGCTCTCTTGGAGCGCTCTTGGGCCGTCTTGGGGGGGAACCCGAAAAACATGCAAAAACCCTAGGGAAAACCCGAAAACGGCAATTAACACGCAAATGCGCACGCTACCCCCCTCCCCTGGAACCCCTCCCTTTAGGGCTTCGCCCACACCAGAACGTCATCACTCGTACCTCGCTCTTTCCGTTACTTGGCCAGGCACAGAAACGGAAAGAGCGTTGCAGCAACAGAAACCGAAATGACTCGCCCCACCGTTCGTACCGGGAGCTTTGGCGTTGAGAGTTGGTTACGTCACCCCTCGCTCTTGGGAACCTTGGTGTTCAGAGATGGTTGCGTTGCCGCCCGTTCCTGAGCCTTGGCTGGGCCTCGGTGTCAGGAACTTGTTACGTCACCGCTCTCTGCTGGGAACCTTGGTCTTATTAGCTTTTTGACGTCACCGTTCGCTCTTGGAAGCCTTGGTGTAAAGAGCTTTTTGTGTTACCGATCACTCTGGGCGTCTCTAAGCCTTCGTGGGAGTCCTATTGGGGCCCTTGTCGGGCCCTCCTGGTGGCCTCTTGGGGGCCTCTTGGGACGCCTCTTGGGGGCCTCTTGGTGCTTCTTGGGGGGCTCTGGGGACCTCCTGGGGGCGTCTTGGGGCGAAAGGCTAGACTTTCGGGATCGTGGTCCCCCTCTTGGGGCCGTCTTGGGGCCCTCTTGGGCCGTCTTGGGCGCCTCTTGGGCCGTCTTGGCGCCTTCTTGTGCCGTTTGGGGGGCCTCTTGGGAGCCTCTTGGGCCGTCTTGGGCCGTCCTTGGGGGCCTCTTGGAGCGTCTTCAACGCCGTGGCAGCCGAAAAGCCGTATATGCTAAACATGTACGTTCTCCCATCGAGCATCGCTAATTTTGACCTCCTGGTGGCCTCTTGGGACGCCTTTTGAGGGCCTCTTGGGCCTTCCTGGGGGGCTCTTGGGGCCTCCTGGGAGCATCTTGGGGCGAAAGGCTAGAGTTTTCGGTTCGTGGTCTCTAGGGGCCGTCTGGGGGCCCTCTTGGGCCGTCTTGGGCGCCTCTTGGGCCGTCTTGGGGCCCTCGTGGGCTGTTTTGGGGGCCTCTTGGGAGCCTCTTGGGCCGTCTTGGGGCGGTCTTGGGGGCCTCTTGGGCCGCCGTCAACGCCGTGAAAGGCGAAAAGCCGTACATGCTAAACATGTACGTCTCCTATGGAAAATCTGGGATTTCGGTCTTGTGGGGCCCTCTTGGGACGCCCCTTGGACGCCTATTGGGAGCCTCTTGGGGGCCTCTTGGGCCGTCTTGGGCTCTTCTGGGACGAAAAAAACGGTGTGCGTCGCACGTGATTGCTTTGAGGTTCTTTATATGTTGCAGCCCTCCAGCAGCGCACATATCGCTGCTGGGGCTCAAGCTTTCAGCGGGTATGCGAGCCTACCCGACCAGCG